AGGTTATTGTAAACTAGACTGAAAGTCAATAAATTATCAGTAATCTCTGTTGATATTAAGGTCACTTTGATTTCATATATTGGAACAAAAAAATAAGCAACTAGTTACTGGTATAGTAATTAAAAACCGCTAGAACGAATCACCAGAAATTAAAAACGAGAGAACGCCAAATCACCAGGAATTACCAAAACGATCAGAGAACATCATTTCCGGACATTATAAGTGAATGAATATACCTTTTTTTGTTATTGAATTTCATTAAAAAACAACAACCATACTTTCGCTGTTCTCGCTGACTGACCCCTTTTTGCGACGTCATTGTCACTTTGAGTATCAGCCTCGGGATTTTATTTCGACTGTCTCAAGTGTGATATTTGCAGTGCGACCTCTAAAGTAAATCTCGAAAATCGTTTGTTTTGTCGCTTGTTTGTTTGTTACTCCTCTACATACAGCTGATTGCCTAAGTATTGCACATGTGGCAACAGTGCTGATCGATCGGAAAGTTGTTTCATGTAAGTTATCCTATAAACTTAATGAGGTTCATTGCAATTGGGAAATGTGATTAACTCAGAGATAAACGCCAAACGGCTTTCTTTTGTGCATCTTATTTTCAGCCGCGGCTCGGCGGGCGCTGTTCCATCTTGCCACCGGCAAATGAAATTATTATTTTCTTATACTATACTGACGTGTTTTTTTGATCTATTGATACTGTTATTTGCAATATCTCCTAGGAACAAGAGGTTTGTGCGCCACAACTCATTCATAAATAAGCTTGACAGTGAGTTGGGCATCATCGCTTTGCTACCAATACTGTCGAAGTCACTTCGTTCAAGGTCACTCCATGTGGCACTTAGCGATTCTTAGCTATAGCATAGTTCCTCCATGAATTCTAGAAATACTTGTGTTGTGGGTTCTCTATTATATAACATTAATTACGTGCATCCTTGAAATCAACGCCAGAGACTCCAAGTCCCTGTCAGACAGATAGAAATACCATAGCGTGAGAAAAATAAAGCCTTGCCAGAAAAACAAACTCAGACATTGAATGGCAGTTGTTATATAATTGTTATTAGTAATCAGTTTGACCTGTACAAAAAGATTGTGTTGCGCAAATTGTTTGAAACAAAGTAACTGGGGATGAAGCAACCATGTAGTATGAAGTGACCATGTTGTATAAAGTGACTTGGGAACATCAATAACAATGTAAAAATATTCCACGCTTATTCAATCAGCCAATAGAAACCTCAAGATCTTGCTTCACTTTAAATTAAAATTCATTAAGATAAGATAAGATAACAGCTTTATTACAACCGTGTAGAAAATTTTACATTTCTAATTTGGTGTTTAAAATGTAATCAAGTTAATAATGAATAACTAAAAAAAGTAAGTAGGCGAAAGATATTAATTAATATTAGTTAATAATATTAACACATTAATGATAGTAGTACAGCTGGGCCAAAAAAAAAATCTCAAATATATGTGTAACTATCGTGCAGTGAAAACTGCTCAGTTGCAAACACTGTGAGTGAATGATAAAACCATTTTCTAATAGGGAAACATAGTGTACTGCTGAGGTATTTTCATGCTAACTTTATTATTATACAACGTTTCCTGGATGTAGTAGTAATTTAATTAGATATGACAGCCTGAAATGCCAGTGACAAGTATTTGAGCATGTTTGTTTGTTATCATTTAGTGCTGTAATTCTATTTCAATTGCACTTCATTGTTTCTGTGTTTGAAGCGAACAATGGAAAGTGTTTGAACTTGACACACATTTTCTAAATAAAGACATTCAAAGGCATCAGTTTTCAACACATTATGTCATTATATGGATAGATGAATTTTATTGTTTTCAATGTCAGATGTATAATATTATAGGGTTATTACGAGGATACCTCAAAGTACGTACGAGTACAGCAGCAGTATCGACCGACACGCAGCGAAGGTTATTGCTGAGTCTGAGTGCATACTTTAAGGTATCCTCTGAATAACCTTATTAATATACATCTTTCCCTTCCAAGGATACATCATGGGAATACCAAAATCCAAAAAGTTTAGAACAGAATCAGCGAACTTCTTTGTGTGCAGTCCAGTCAAACCCTGGTAGCAGCCATGTTTGTTTTTATTATTAGAGGACGCTTACGCACGTAATCATTCCATATTGGGAATTTGATATTTCCTTATATGGTAGGATGAAAATACCCCGTAAAATACCGCAAAATTATGGCACGTTGTAGCTTATAGCGTTGCGGTGACAGATGTACAATAATAAGATGTGTGTATATTTTGTCTAAACACTGTTTGGGAAGACCATCACTTTACGATATTTTCCCTACTACACTTGTCTTATTTAATCATTTGAATACCAGGCAATTATTCTCATTATTTACTATCTATTTTGATTAAGACTTAAAGGACATAGAAATTATGTCCATTTGCTACAAAAATCATGAGGAAATTATAGAAAAATATGAAAAACTGTTCAAAATGATTCACCAACATGTATTGTACAGAAAATATTTTGATTTTAAAAGTTTTCTTGTGTTCATATAGGGCATTGTTGTGTTGCTAAGGAAGAGATTTATACCAAGACAATTACAATCATTCTGAAACTAGTTTCCGAGTATAGGAATAATTATTGTCATTTTGACAGGCTTGCTTTGAGACCTTTGTGGAGAATGGCAACAGCTGATACTGTGAAACGATTGGAACAGAAGGCGAAACAAGCTGATGAAACAATCGCATTTCTCAAAGATAAAGTTGATATTCTAAAGAAGCATGCAGGTATGTGGTTTTTGTTTTCGTCATATAACAAATCTTCCATTTCTTTGCAATCTAAATTGCTATGTCATTATGTAGGAAACTGGTAGAACTGTTTGAATACTGTTTGGAACTTGTGTTCTTTGCCAGAATGGTGTCTTTCATCACCAAGGTAGCAATGGTTCTGTTGAAAATAATGGCTTCCATGTTCACTGCAATGATGGTGTTAATTTTCTATTTAAAAAGTTTAAGCGAAGTTTGTGGGGGCACTGTTCATCAAATCGTCTAACTAACAAAATTCAGCCAAATTCGTTATTTTTGTGTTGAGAAATTCCTTGCATATGAACACCTCATTGCAAAGAACTTAGAACACTTTCCCAGGGTTTTTGAAACCAAAATTGTCATCCAACTTGCTCAGTGTCATCAGCAAGTTGCTCAGTGACATCACAATGTTGCATAGTGACATCAGCAAGTTTCACAGTGACATGAGCAAGTTCCTCAGTGACATCACAATGTTACATA